GCTTTCCAGCTGATTGGTGCTTCTTCAGGGCTCAGCGGAAGCGCCAGGATCAGCGCCAGGCTCCAGTTGGAGTTCGGTGCTGATCCTGGTGCTTCTGCTGAGCCCTGAAGAAGCGCCAATCAGCTGGAAAGCAGCACTGATCCTGGCGCTTCCGCTGAGCCCAGAAGAAGCGCCGATCAGCTGGGATGTTGCAGCATCTCCAGGGTCTTGGGATTTACATTCAGATGCTTGGCAACTGATTCATATTTATGACGGTCACAGTGTCCCAGGGTCATGTGAAGTGATCAAAACCTGCTGCAACCACCCAGCAGACGGGGGGAATAAAAACCAAACACCCCCCACCCCACCCCCGCTGCCAATCCTCAACAGAAATGCTCACAACAATGAAAACCTTGAACAGAAGGAAGAACGCCGCCGGGTGGGCAGGCAGGTGTCTTGCTCGGCTGTGGCTTGGGGGGCACTTTTTTCAGTGCCATTGTAACTTCGAACAGTCTCTAAATGAACTGTTGTAAGTCGAGGACTACCTGTACTTCATCACTGTTTTCCTTTGGGGGGGGGTCAAGTTTTTGACACCTTGCCAGGCAACTGGTGGTACTTGGATATTGCCATATCCTAAAAGTGGTACAATGGGTGAAAAGGTTGAAAAGCCCTGCTGTACATTACCTTCCCCTTTCCTCACACAGGCTAGTGAGATGATCCAAGGGAGGAGGGTTCATACTGTTCACACTTACCTCAGGTGGTTCAATAAAAGCCAGCCAGTCAGAAGCATGAGTTGGCAGCAGCCCCATTGACTGGCACTTGTAAACAGCCAAGGCCAATCCTAACAGGTTGCCAATTAAATACACCAGTCCCTGAAGAAACTTCTGACTTGAGCTTTCAAGTAGCTTGAAGGCTGTGGGGATAATACAAAAGAAGTTAAGGTACCACTGTGGGCTATGAAACACTACACAGCACACTAGCTGATAGCAGCGGGTAGAAAAGCCTGCTTGGAGATATGGTTGTCAACTGAATAATCTTTCCAGAACGAGATTTGGGAATCTTGTTATTAAAATGCTAATGTAAATCATCCATAATTTATCAAGGAGTTAGGAAATATAAAGTCAATCTTGCTAAGTTAATTTTTACCATTGGAGATTAAGCTGCTTTGCAAACATTTTGTCCTAATGACAACTCTGAAGCCAAGCACAAATCTAGATATGGATCTTAATCCGAGAGATTGTTCTTCACCTAGCAATCCTCTTTTCCTTATAAGCCTGTAGAACAGATGTCCCAAATCCATCTAGCAAATGTTCCTCATTCACCTTATTGTTCCTGGACGGCCTATAGTGTAGCTTTTACTTATTTGTACTATGTGTAAACTGCCCACTCGAGTTCCAGTATTCCCATTTTAAAAAAAGAGAAAGCTGCCCACTTCAGTTCCAGTATTCCCATTTAAAAAAAAGAGAAGCACTTGCGTGTGTCCTATTTTTGAAATTGTTCAAACTGTACTTTGGAATACAACTAAGAGGGAGTCAAGCTATTTTCCAAAGCGCCTGAAGGCAGGACAAGAAGCAACGGGTGGAAACTAACCAAAGAGAGAAGCAACCTAGAACTAAGGAGAAACTTCCTGACAGTTAGAACAATTAACCAGTGGAACAACCTTCCTCCAGAAGCGGTGAATGCTCCAACACTGGAAGTTTTTAAGAAGAGACTGGACAGCCATTTGTCCGAAATGGTATACGGTTTTCTGCCTGAGCAGGGGGTTGGACTAGATGACCTCCAAGGTACCTTCCAACTTTACTATTATCATCATTATTATTATTATTATTATTATTATTATTATTATTATTATTATTATTATTATTATTATTATTATTACTACTACTACTACTACTACTACTACTACTACTACTACTATTAGTTTTTTCTTCGAATTGGAATAACAGCCCCCCAAAATAGAAAATGGAGAAAAAGTGGGATAAAAGAAGGCTTTGGATGGTGACACAAAGAGACTTACTAGCAGAGATGGACATTAGTGCTTGGATGGGCCTCCAGGCCATCATACAGACCATCATGGTGGGGAAGATAGAGATTGTATTCCCTGCCATGTACATGATGAACAGGTTCATAGGGATTTGCTTCAAGGGACCGAGAGCAATATCCCAGCAGCGCTAAAACATTTAAGGGAGAAAAATAGAATTCAATAAGCAAAGTCTATATAGTCTAGTTCAGGGGTAGGCAACCTTGGCTCTTTTATGACTCGTGGACTTCAACTCCCAGATATCCTGAGCCAGCACGGCTGGCTCAGGAATTCTGGAAGTTGAAGTCTACGAGTCATAAAAGAGCCAAGGTTGCCTACCCCTGGTCTAGTTCTACATTTTGAACAGCTACAGCATTTCTACTACCCAACTCATCCATTTTCTCTCCAGGACATTACCTTTTCAACCAGGATGCGATCTGTCTCCTGAACGCTTGTGTCAGG